GAGACTTGACTCATTAATGCTTCGTCGGACATTGCAGCTAGCAACCAATTTGTTTCTCGCCAGACGATCCAGGAATCAAGAGTTCCAAGCTGGGGCCATGCTCAGCATCAAATCATAGGTTCCATGTCGAGACGCGTAAACTGCTCTTGGCTGTCGAAGTTTTCGTACTTGACAGCCAGATCAACTGGATGATGGAAATGGCTATATTCTTCTTTAAGGGCGACTTGAATCAGGTGCTTGACTGCACCCGGAACAGCTGAGTGCGCGCCGTGTCCACGCGAAGGCCGTCCATAAACACAGTCGTCTTGACGTGTTCGTTGCGTCGGTTTCCCACTAGGGACACCGTGAACTCCCGTATATCATGAACATACTCGTGCAGCTCGCGCATTCCTTGCTTGCATGAGAGAAAGCGCGAACCCTGTTGGTACTCGTAGTTCGCCGGCAGGAACGCGGCTCGGGGCCGTTAGCACAGCTGGGCCCAGGATGTGAAATATCCAGGCGGTGTCGCCTCCCGCGTGTACGCGCAACGCTTCGCACGACAACAAAGGTTGGATTTTGCCGCGCGAGCGAGAAATTTCTCCGGAAGGCCTTTGTTTCGCTAATGAAATCCTCTCCTCACCTGCTGGTGTACCGGGTTCCTCGCCTTCCAGGTTCACCCTAACCTGCGGTGAATCGAGACAAGTGACGTCTTCGGCTATACAGCCTCCTTTGACTATACAGTCCGGGTCGACCATACAGTCACCCACGGCTATACAGCCCCCCTTGACTTTACAGTCCGGGTCGACTATACAGTCACCTCCGGGTATACAGCCACCCTTGACTATACAGCCCGGGTCGACAATACAGCCACCCACGGGTATACGGCCTGCTTTGACAATACAATCCATGTCGTCTATACAGCCATCCACGTATACACGCCCCCCGGGGTGCAGCCCATCCAGGTCAGACGATCTGTACACTAGCGAAAATATACGACGAAACGACCAACGCGATAATACGAAGTCTACCAAGGTCCAAATTCCGATGAATCCTGATATATCTACAAGCATGCCTTCGACTTCGGGTACAAGTCAAGCAAATCCAGACAAGCTACACCCGGCTAACAGAGTTGGCACAGGAAACATACTTCGGATCGAAAGAACCCCACGTCGCCGTGTAGTCTCACGTCAAACCGCGGACCAAATGCATGAGAATGCACGGGACCTGAATCGAGAAGTTCAATCGGCTACGCTCGGGAAGGCCATGGCCAGTTTCGGCATAAAGCTACCAGCGCCTGATTTTCCTACAACGCAAGAAGGCGCTGATGGACCTGTATACGTGCTTAATAAGCCATTGCAACGCTCTCTGTCGGAGCTCGCACGCCGTTCAGCTTTACTGCTACCGGCGTTCGTGGAGCTGGTTCGGGGACAAACGGAGCGGGATTACCGTCCGAACAAGAATTTGGTTCCAGCTGTTCTTTGCGAACTGTGCAGAGAATATAAGCACTTGGCGCAGATGCAGAAGATTGCTCAAGAAGGTGTCGAAGTCCAGCTAAAAGAAACACCACCTCGGCAGTCAGTTCGCCCAGTGAATCATGGCTCGGCTCGGGGCAGAATTAATATCTTGCGCAAGAATATCAGGAAAGAGCAAGATGCTGGAGGTGCCTTGGTCCTCGACATGGATCTTCTGAAGCAGTGGC